CACCCCTTTCTACTCCGAATACTACGGCGTTTCAACTCTATGCCGTTCATGATCTATCCTCGTATGTGCTGATTCAGGGCAACTCTACACGTGGTAGTCCGTCCGTACCGCCTCTTCCCCTCACTCCTGCTCAATTGCCTCTCTTCTTCCTCCTCTCCCCCCTCCTCCCCCCTAACCTCTTGCTCCTCACACATGCTTCCACCTCTCTCACTCGTCTGTTCTCGCAAACCTCACTGCGCCTGGTGCAACGGATGGAGCGCCGACCTGTCCAGAGACCTTCCTCCTCCTGTCATCAGCATCGCCGCTCTGTGATGAATGCACGAATTCTCTACACAGATTATCTCTCTACAGATATTATCTCCGAGTCATGGTCCCCTCCTTCGCCTCCTCCTACCCTGCTCGACGAATCACCGTCTCCGCTCGCTCCTTCGCCTCCTCCTACCCTGCTCGACGAATCACCGTCTCCGCTCGCTAATGGCTGATCAAAGTCCTTGCCAGTCTGCATCGAATCATCGGGTTACCTCAGCTGCTGCTTCTCCTCCTCCTCCTCCTCCTTCACTCATCGCCTTTGTGGCGTAACCTCAGCGACTTCTCCTTCTCCTCCTCCGCCTCCTTCTCCTCCTTCTCCTCCTTCTCCTCCTCTTCCCCCTCCTCCTCCTCCTCCTCCTCCCCCTCCTCCCCTTCCTCCATTGATCTTCTTCCATACTTGACCGATCAGTAGACAAGACCGTCGAATCGCAAATGTATAACGTCACCGTCTGTGTCCCCTCCATCGCACCACGTCCTCCTCCTCATCCTCCTCCTCCTCCTCCTCCTCCTCCTTCTCCTCCTCCTCCTCCTCCTCCTCGATCGGCTTAAACAACAATCAACCCAACTGATTCTGTCGCGAGCCTAAGTACGAACGGGCAGGAAACCGATCCTCGATCGCGAAGAACCGTCGGTGCGCACCTACCCGTCTTGGTACGTCCCCATGTACGGCTACCCTTCCCTCTCCGCCTCCTCCTCCCCTCCCTCCTGCTCCCTACCCCTCCCTACCCCTTCTCCTCCCCTCCTCCCACTCTCCTTGATCTCCGAGCAAGTCGTCTTCTTGGTCCGTTACAGGTCTCAGTACAAAGCTGTCGAGCACGAGTCCTCCGTCGTAAGTCACCAAACGGAAGTTAACGGTGATTCGAACCAGCTCCTCCCCGCCGTTAACCTTCCCCCCCAATCCAGTGGCAGTTCTGTTACTGTCATTCCGACGATCGTTGTCGGGATCGCAATGATCGCCCGTGATCTGTACGACTCCGATATCCACCTCCGTCAGCGAGGAGTAATCGGATATCGACCGGACGCTGCTCTTGACCGCCCGCTCAACGACCGGTCCTCCGACCACCTGCACCGTCCCCTCGTACCACCTCTCATCTGGTCCGTCCCAGAAATTCGCCCCATCGTACGACGGCGGATCTACGGACAATCGCCACGAACACATGTACCTGCCACGTGGCACCGTACACGTCAGCGTCCCACTCACCTTGAACCCGTACGGATCCACTCTCAGCGCAATTCCCTGCTCGAACACGCTTCCCTTAATTAGCGTTATGTTCCAAAAATAGCCAAACTCCGGATAAGGTGGGTACTCTCTGACTGTGATCACCATTCCCATGGCCGAGCAGCTGGTCGTCACGACACCGGTCGAGGGATCGAGCCTGTAATGCACGAGCGGACTCTCTGGGTCCACAAACCCCTCCCTCAGTCGTCTGAAACTGGTCCTCCACCCCCCATCACCCTTCGCTGTGCCCCCATGATCATCGTAGAGGTGGTAGGAGCCCTTCTTCCTCTGCCTGTGCTTGCGCCGACTATGGCTATGGCGGCCTCCAGCGCCATCTCCTCCTCCGGCTGAGTGCCTGCTGAGCAGTCCTAGCTGGTAATAAACACGTGGAAGGAAATGCTGCCACGTCATGTCGTTGCGCGCAGCGTGCGCGAAGAGCGAGCAGACGGTCGCTACACGACAAACGTCCTCTGGTCGTTCTAGTCTCCCAAGAACTTCGCAGATCAGGACCTCGGGTAGGTCCGTAATAAGCGTTGACGCCTCGGAAAAGGGAGCGGTGTTGTTCATCTTCGTCTTCGCAGTCTTCGCCGAGTCCTCATCTGAGTAGGAGGAAGAGGAGGTTAATCTATTTATAGAACGAGGAGGAAGGATCGCTCTGCTAATTAGACTCAAGTCTTGAGGACTAATCACTACGGACGAGCAATCAGAAGACGAACAAAAAGGCGAGGAGGGCGACGAAGAGACGTCTTCGCTGGCAACGCAGTCGCTAACGACAAGACAGTTCCCCGACAGCTTCCGTCTCATCCCAGGCCCGGGACTGCGACCGCCGCCGTCCGGGCCGGGCAGAATGTCCGCCGCGGCCGCCATAGCCGCCATCGCCGCACCGCAGGGGAACTTGCTCGAGTCGCATATGTCCAGACCTAGACTGCCACACTCTTGAAGCAGAGTTCTCGCCCCGCACGTTTCGTCGCCGACATGCCCTCGCAAACAAGGACTCACTCCACAGCACGCCTGGCTCACCACCGAACCCATCGGGTCGGCCGGCAAGACCACGAAAGACGAGGGAAAAACGAAAAGAAAATGCTCTCTCTCTCTCTCTCTCTCTCTCTCTCTCTCTCTCTCTCTCTCTCTCTCTCTCTCTCTCTCTCTCTCTCTCTCTCT